TGTTGACTTCCAAACAAGGAAAGTTTTAGCCTTAAATTTCTTCCAACGGTCAGGTCCCTACATCGATGTTCATTACTTGAACATCGCTGTTTAGGTCTGACTTTTGAAGATGGAAGTTTGGCCTGACAGCGCTGTTGCTGGGTCAACATCGCTGTCCAAAAACTTTCTGCCAATGCACTGTATTTTTGGCTTAGGTTGGACAGCGCTGTAGGGAAGCCTACATCGCTGTTCCAAAAGTTTCTGTTGGAAGACTTAATGCCAAACCATGGTTTTCAGCCACCCAAGCCAGACAGCGCTGTTGGTTTCACCAACATCGCGGTTGGGCTGGTTTAGCCAGACCCATGGTTGGTTTAGTCAGCCGTTAGCCGATGTCAAAAATGTAAGTTCTCCAAAATAAAAACCAAGTATTGAAAATGTTTTTTTATTGTATTTTGCTAAGAAATAAAGTAAAACATTTTGAAAACCACGTCATTTAGTAGAAAACCACGGCTAGCCAAGTTTACGCTGTTTCGCATGGTTTTCACTAAACGACCAAAAACGAAAGGTTGTTTTTGAAGCGTTTTTGTTGGAGAACTATTTAAACATTCCCAAAAGTAAAAAATAATCATTAAAAGTTGAAAACCACTTGGTTGGTTCGGACGCCAAAAACCAATGCCGATAACTGAAAGCCGAACGCCGGTTTCCGAAGACCGAACGCCGGATGGCTTGGTTTTTGGTTTGGGCGAACTCCAAGTGTTTTTAGGCAGTTTAAAACTTAAGAGAAACATTTTTGAATATGCAAAAGGTATTTGATAAGAGAAGCCTAGCGAGCCAAGATTTGAAAGTTTGTGCCGGTCTTGATCACATTAAGACCGACTCAATAGAATTCTAATTCTTCGTTCTTGATTCTTGGTTCTTGGTTCTCAAATCATCATGCCATGTTCCTTCGCCTTGGTTTTGCTCACTTTAACCTTGTTATTGTCACGGTGGTTTGGCAATATCAAAACCTGTCATAAAACGAACACAGTTTAGTACGACGTAGGCATACACCCGTGTTCCAACACCACTCTCTCACGTCTCTCTCTCGTGTCTCATCACTACCGAACGGGACAGAGCAGCAAGACAGCCGCAGAAGAGAAGAAGAGAAGGAAGAAGGAAGAGGAAGAATCCGACGCCATTGTTCGTGAGTACCATATCGTAGTTTAATCGTCGAATTCAAGGTGAGTACATGGTCATCTAACGTATGGTTATATTCGTAGGTTTGAATCTTACGTTCGTAGAATCATTACGATTGATTTATGTGGACCAAACGCAAATTATGTTTTGTGTACGTTATTTATGATTTGAAAAAAAACATGAATATGTGTTGGAATGATTGAGGAATGGTTGGGTAATGTTAGGTTAATGTTTCCTGATCTATTATGCTTGTTTTCACTGGAATGGGGGCTGCCTAAGGGACGGAATTGGAGCTGGTGCAGGTCTTGGTTCGCCGCGACGAACGGTAGGTGGGTACCGTTGACACGGTACCTGGCTACCGCCAGCCTCCCTGGTTTCGTTCCTCTCTGGCGGTACCTACTTAAGACGGGACCTAGGTGCCGTGTGGACGGTGGACTCTACTGTCTGACCGGTAGAGGCTACCGTGATGGGCTACCGGAAGGGATCCCAGCTGACTCGGTCAGTACCCCCGTACCGTGAGGCGGTACCCTGGTGCCGTGGGGCCGGTAACCCCTACCGCCAAGGGGTATCGTGAGGTACCTGAACCGGTCTGCATTTTGTTGTTTGCGTCGAGGATTGATTCCGAGACTTTATGTGTTGCGTGACGGTAAATGTGGGTAGCAATACCCAGTGTTAGGCCGCTAATTGAGTGTATTGAATCTGATGAAATATGTGTATGATGCATGAACATGTATGCTATAAACTAATGACGATTAAAGCATTAAATACCTAGAACAAACTCAGGAGCTGACCTGAATGGAAATAATGGCAAGGCATGTCATAAGTTAGTAAGTTAGAGTCATGTGGTACCTGCTGGGTCCAATGGCTGTCCGGGTAAAAACGTGTACACGGGGATCTAAGAAATGTCGTTCCGAAGGGGACAGGGATCTCACCCACCCAACGAGGAACTCCCGAGTTGGTTGAGCTTGGCCTTCGTTCCGAAGGGGAAGGTCATGACTCCATAGGCAAGTCGTATACAGTTAAGCTTTACCTAGTCTAGGTTAAGAGGCGAGTACAAAAAGAACGTAAGGTAGAGGATAATGGAAAAAAGGTTACCATTGTATCCGTGTAATTTGTAATTCTTTAATGATGATGTTTATTACATATGTTATACTATGTATGTTGCGTGAATATGTTGAGCATGTTGTGTGCATGATATCGTATGAGGATACGGGCTAGTGGGATCATCTATGGGTATAGTTGTATGTTAGATATTTCTCACTTAGCTATAATGCTGAACGTGTAGCCCTTTTTCCTACTTGCTACACGTAGGTAATCCAGGAAATGATGAGCTTGGAGCCAATCCCGGAGGGCGATGAGGAGGCTGAGATGTGTGTGGCAATGTTCGACGACTTTGAACTCTTATTAATTACTTAAATAACTTATTACTATTTCGGGCATGATTCCCGAGTTGTGTTTGGAATATGAATTTAGCTTCCGCAACCGTTTTGATTTACTCTGATGGATATTTAAGTATTGTTTTGAATTAAATGTTTTAAATTGACTTGGAAAATTATTGGTAGCAACCCGATCCGCTGATCCTTGTATCCGGGTTATACGGGTTGGGGTGTTACAATCTTCATCTTCACTTTCTTCAGGAGTTTGAACCATACTCAACTTGAATTTAGTGAGCTTTGCCACTTCTTTTGCCAAGTATTCAACTTGAGCCTTTAATTCTGCATTTGAAGCAATAAGCTCTTCTTGGGACATGTTTTGAGTTGTGTGAGACATGGTTTAAAAGAACCAGGTGTAGGGAAAGAGGGGTGTGGTTGGTTATGTGAAGAAAATTCAGCAAGGTAAGATAGTCGATTATCTGAGTTTGATAGTCGATTATCAATGCTATCAGGATCAAGATTGGGAGAGAAAGAGAGAATGAGAGGGAAGTGTTTGTGGTCCTCAAGGAGATGTTCAACAACAAGCTCTGATACCAAATGTTGTACCCGAGACCTGAGGTGTGTTGGACATGAGTTCAAACCCCTTTATTATTTTTCTGGAATATTTTTGTTTTGATGAATGATAAACAGGATGATTAAATTCAAACGATAATCGAAAATTTATTTTTCGTATCGAGAAAAGCAAAGAGGTGTATCAAGAAAGTTACGGCATTAAAAATCAACGCTCACCTCTACGCAGATTTTTGAAGCGAAGTGAAGACTCCGAAGACTTTTTATTTTTTATTGAGTCTAGGAATATTTGTAAGGATGCGATAATTTTTGCATAAACAAATTAATTTTTTAGGGATAAAAATTATTATTTTCTGAGTCAATTGAAAAAATTATTTTTTCTCTGTCTAAAAATATTTTACTGAGTCAATTTCAAAATAGTGTGTCAAAATTTCTTAAAATACTTTTTTAAGAATACACAAACCTTTTGTGGTAAGAAAAATACACTTTAAAGATTTTTCTTGTACATCGTTTGACACACAAAATATTTTTAAGACTCAATTTCTACACAAAAATTCATTATTTAATTCAAATTTTGAATTTGAATTAATTCTTTTCAACCCATGTGATTTGTTTATTATTAGGAGCCTCCTTGACATCTTTTCTTGTCTAAAACAAAACATTAAGCTCCAATTGTACTCCCCAACTCGCACACATGCTTTGGGTCCTCCTTGTTTGGCCCTTGTTCGTTAGGGAATCGATCATCCCTCTTGGATCGATCACCTGTGCAGAGTAATCCGAGACTGGATCGATCCAAGTGCATGGATCGATCATCCTGTTTTTCCAAAATTGATCGTAGGATCGATCCTTGAGTGTGGATCGATCCCCTGAAGCTTTGACAGAAATTTATTTTCGATGGCTTACTCCAGATGATCGATCTTCAGCCCTGGATCGATCCCCAATGTCTTTTTTCTGTCAAAATCAGCCTTCCCTACTTCCAACGGATTTATTTCTTTTTCCTCTATAAAAACACTCATCCTCCTTCATTAAAAATATATCTCTTGCACTCCAATATCTTCATTGATCAATATTCAATTCTTGCTTCCATCTTCCTCATCAAATATATTATTTTGAGAGTTAGAAATATTTTTATTGAGTGCTAAAGATTTTGTCATCCATAGAGCTTTCATATTTCAACACTTCTTGCTCAAATTGTGTGAGCTTTCATTCTTGTGTTGTAAACTCAATCCTATTTGAGTGTTGCTAAGACTTGTGTGATTCAAGTCTTGTTGTTGTTATGGCTTGTGCGACTCAAGTCTTGTTGTAAGAAGTTGAGGCTTGTGTGATTCAAGTTCTCGAGTTGTATCGGTTTTTCAAGCACCCGTTGAAGCTTGAAATTTAGTAGAACCTTTGAGAGAGTCTTTCGGAGGACTGGACTAGCCACGAGGTGGTGAACCAGTATAAATCACGGTGTACTCCTTCCCCTTGCTCTTTACATTTTTCCTGCGATTTTGTTTAATTATCACACACGCGATTTACGCACATTCTAGCAAACAACTCTATTCACCCCCTCTCTATAGTTGCACTTTTGTCTAACAATTGGTATCGGAGCAGGAAGTTCTTCGAATATCTCTTAAATTTCAGGAACTCAAAGATCAATGGCATCTAGAATGTTCAACGCATGAGTTAGCGAGGGACAATCAACCACAAGGCCACCGTTGTTCGACGGAACCAACTACTCCTATTGGAAGGAGAGGATGAGGATTTTCATCCAATCCAATGTCTACAAACTGTGGTTGATAGTCAAGAATGGGTGTAGAGTCCCGATGAAGAAAGTCGGTGAAGTCAACGTCCCCAAAACCGAAGAGGAGTTCACCGATGAAGATTGCAAAAAGATGGAGCTCAACGCAAAGGCAATAAACATAATTTATTGCGGTGTTAATGTGGATGACTACCGCAAAATCTCGCGGTGTGAAATCGTAAAACAAATGTGGGAAAAATTGGAGCTCACCTTCGAAGGAACCGCACAGGTTCGGGAGGCCAAAATCGACCACCTCACTCACGAGTATGAACTCTTCTCTATGAAGGAAAACGAGAAGATTGAGGAAATGTTTGAGAGGTTCTCTAACATCATTAATCCTCTCAATCTTCTCGGGAAAACATACACCGACCGAGAGCTCGTGAGAAAGGTACTGCGAAGCCTATCCCCCAAATGGCGTTCAGAGGTGGACGCAATCGAAGAAGGTCGTGACTTCCAAACAACGACCTGTGATGCTCTTCGAGGTAATCTTATTACCTACGAAACCACCCAACCCTCAAAGGTGGTTGAAGAGAGGAACAAGAGGTCTATTGCTCTACCCGCAACAACATTAGCCCACAACAACGTTGATGATGAAGATGATGACAGCGACGACACCGACCTCGGACTCTTTGTCCGAAAATTCAAGAAGATGATGCTTAAGAAGGGAGCCAAGAAGAACACTCCACCCAAATGCTATGGGTGTGGTGAAATTGGACACATCAAACCAATGTGTCCGAAGCTCAAGAACGAGAAGGACAAGAGGGCACCGAAGAAGCAACGTGCCTACATTTCTTGGGAGAACGACGGCTCCGGGAGCGAAGACTCGGAAACGGAGGAAGTGGACAATCTATGTCTCATGGCCATTGAAGATGGAGAAACATCAAAAGAGGTAAGTGATCAAGAACCTTCTCCCAATGATCCTTTAACTCTTAATGATGTAGTTTGCATTGTAGAAGAATTAGTAGGAATGTTCAAAAAGGCTTCCAAATAAAATAATGAAGTAAAGCAAAAAATCCTGATTTTTGAGAATGAAGTAAAACAAGAAATTATCTCTTTTGGAAAAAGGCCACAAGAACCTTCATCTACTTCCTCTTCTACATGCTCTAGTTGTACATCACTAAAAGCTAAAGTTGCTAATTTAGAAAGCAAATTGGGAAAGTTTAATAATGCCTCAAACACCTTAGATAAAATACTTAGGCAAAAACATAGTAATGGTGAAGGACTTGGATATAAGAAAATCCCACCTAGAAAAACAACATTTGTTAAAGCTAGGGGAAATAAAAATGCTAGGACTAATAATCAAACTAGAAGAGAACCTCCTAGCAAACCTAGAACTCATTACACTCAACCATATAGGATGAATAATCCAAATGTTATTTGTCATTATTGTAATAAGATAGGTCACATTGCACCCGTGTGCTTCACCAAAATTAGGCATTTCCAACAAACGCACACACATCACGCATATATTAACCAAAAAGGAACCAACAATACATGGGTACCTAAACCGTCTCCTTGATATCTTTTTGTAGGTGTGCTTGAAGGCTTCGAGTACCTCTTGGTATCTCGATAGCAGATGCTCCAAGCACATGACCGGAGACGCTTCCAAATTTAGGAGTTTAGAGTATTTCAAAGGTGGCAATGTCGTTTTTGGTGACAACAACAAAGGGAGAATCATTGGAAGTGGCACCGTCGGGAGAGACAATGCTACAACCGTTGAGAACGTTCTTGTTGAGGGCCTCAAGCACAATCTTCTTAGCATTAGCCAATTGTGCGATAGAGGTAACCGTGTCATCTTTGATTCTAGTAAATGCATTGTAGAATGCTTGTGTGACAATAAGACTATTCTTTGTGGTAGTAGAGTAGATAACATTTACATGTTTGATCTTGAAAATTCCCCATCTATCTTAGCTAAGTGCCTCATTACCAAAGAGGAAGAAACGTGGCTATGGCATCGTCGGATAGCTCACGTTAATATGGACCATCTTAATAAGTTGGTTTCTAAAGACTTAGTAATTAGTATTCCTAAACTTAAGTTTGAGAAGAATCTAATTTGTGATGCATGTCAAAAGGGGAAGCAAGTAAGGGCCTCGTTTAAGTCAAAGAACGTTGTTTCTACGACTAGGCCATTACAACTTTTGCACATGGACCTTTTTGGACCTTCAAG